TTTTCTGTTAGATTCCACATGTAAGTGAGATCATACAGTATTTGTCTTTTCCTGTCTGACTTATTTCACTTAGCATAATGCCATCAAAGTATATCCATGTTGTTGCAAATGGCAGGGTTTTTTTCTTATGAATGAATAATATTCTGTGTGTGTGTGCGTGTGTGTGTGTGTGTGTGTGTGTGTGTGTGTATCACATTTTCTCTATCCATGTATCTGCCATTTGGGGCTTAGGTTGTTTCCCTACGTTGGCTATTGGCTATTCTGAATAATTCTGTAATGAACATGGGGTGCAGATATCTTTGAGAGAGTGATTTCATCCTTCAGGTATATACCCAGAGGTGACATTGCTGGATCATGAGGAACTCTATTTTTTAAAAAAATTTTTAGGAACCTCCATAATGTTTTCCATAGTGGCCACACCAGTTTATATTCCTATCAACATGCACAAGTGTTCCTTTTTCTCCACATCTTTGGCAGCACTTATCCCTTGGCTTTTTGGAAACAGTTATTCTAATAGGGGAGGTAATACCTCACTGTGGTTTTGATTTGCATTTACCTGATGATTGGTGATGTTGAACACCTTTTTGTCTACTTCTTGGCCATTTGAGTTACTTCTTTGAAAAAATGTCTATTTAGGTCTTTTACCCATTTTAAAAGTAGGGTTAGATGTCTTCTTGCTATTGTGTTGCATGAGTTCCTTGCATATTTTAGATACTAACTCCTTATCAGATGTGTGGTTTGCAAATACTTTGATTCAGTAGATTTCCTTTTCATTCCACTGATGATTTCTTTTGCTATGTAGAACATTTTTAGCTTGATGTTGTTCCTCCTATTTCTTTTTGCTTTTGGTCTTCTATCAAAATATCATTACTAATGTTTTATCCTTAAAGGATTTCTTAGTAGAATAGTGCCTACTCCTTATTGCTAAACTGCCTCTTCTGAGTTATATTTTATCATTTTAATAGTATCTCAGAACCAAAAATGTTGTTCTTTTTCTGATAAGATTCTCTTTCAATTGACTGATTATGTTATTTTAAAATTTTTTTTAAAAAATACACATACTTAAAGAATCAAGTAGTTCAATTGTGCTTATTATACTCCTTTCCCAAAATAGCAGTCCTCAGTACTTCCAGCATATTTTTCTTACTTCAGAAGTTATCTTCTTTTTATTTATTTGATACTTATGTTCATAATATTCAATAAGATGCTTGATTGTTCGGCATTGGTTTTCACACTATGGCAGATAAGGATTTGGCAATCTTCCTCTCCCTCTACCTGCTCCATCACACACATGCTCCCTTCCCAAAACTTCATCTTCACAATGTAATTAATATCATAACTTTGATTAGGTCAATATTCATCACATATTATTATATCTATGTTTGTTTGTGCAACTTTGATTATATTATTATTTCTATATTACATGCTAGTTTTTCATGGAATTAATAATAACCTTATTGTCTGTTCTCTTTTGCTTGGTTTTCTACGTATTTGCCAACCCCAAGATTCTTTGAAAGTTGTTTAAATCTTCACAGATGCTCAGACACATCAGATTTTCCTTCCGTTTCATCCTCCTGAAGCAGTCTCTCCTGGGGCCACACACTCTGCCCTGCAGGGCACGTTACACTCCCTACTGGTTTGGTGTTTTTTGAAGTTTTCTTCTCCTAGCATGGTCACTGTCCTCCAAGTTGCTTGCTGCTTTTTGGTTTTGTCTCTCTGTTTTGCATTAGGGGCTTTCTAAAGATGCTTGAAGTTCCTTGATTTGTCTGTAGGCCTTTGGGGTTGGGGGACTACAATGTAATTGGAGCACTGAGTGAATGCATAGGCCTTGTCCTCTGTAAGTTTCATCATTGACAAATCATAGGAAACCTCCAATTTCAGTATCCTTGGTTGTCTTTCTTGGGCTTGTCAGGTTTTTTCATTTTTCTGCCTGGGGGTAAAAACTTGGTTGTCAAATAAGGGGAAATGACTGGTGGTAGTGGTTAAGAATCTGCTTGCCAAAGCAGGAGATGCAAGAGACACGGGTTCGATCCCTGAGTCAGGAAGATCCCCTGGAGTAGGAGATTGCAACGCACTCCAGTATTCTTGCCTGGAAACTTCCATGGACAGAGGAGCCTGGTGCGCTACAGTCCGTGGGGCTGCAGAGAGTCAGACGCGATTGAGCCTCTGAGCACAGCACACACCTAAGGCTGGTGGTCTCAGCATCTGATGTGTGTTCGTTCACTTAATCCCATTCATTTGCCTTCAGCTTTACTATTCTACCCTCAGAGACCCTCTCTTTTACTCTCTGGAAGATAAACCTCCAGCTGTTTGCTATCATGTGTAAGGGGGGTGGACAGGTAGCCCAGGTGTGAGGAGCAGGGGTGGCCACCCAGGGATCTGAGCCCCTCTGAGTCATCCGGCCCACCCTGCTTAGTTTAGCCTCTACTCACAGCTCTTTGGGAGGATCTGGGGGATAAAATGAGGTGAATCTTGTCTTTCTCCCAGCTGACTTAGGATTCAGGGCTGCCATGTCATTTTCCACTTTTCCTACCTGCGTTCTGGCTTCAAGTACTTTGTGGGTAATTGTCTTCTGTTTTATACTCCTTGTTCTTTTTGGTTTATGCCTTTTAAGAAAATCCTTTTACTGTCCTTTAATTGGATTTTAGGAGAAAGCAACCTAGTTCCACTACCCAGTTTTTAAATAAGGATTATATATTTTTTTGCTGTTGAGTTGTGTGAGTTCCTTATATATTTTGAATATTAACTCTTTATCAGATATGTATTCAATCTTCCATTTTTACCTGTAAGCCTCACTGTTGCTGTTTATTTACTGAACCTCTCCCCCCACCAAGGAGCTGAAGTTTTGGAAAGAAAGGTTCAACAGCCCATGTTCAACAACACCCCAAAATAGGTTTCAGAGATAGAATGACCAGACCACAGCCCTGTGATCCAGAGAGTCTTGTCCTTTGAAATTTCTCTCTTTAAACCTAGGATATTCAAAACCTAGGATATTTCACTGTTTTCCCATACCCTCTTTCCTCTTCTCATATCTCCTCCTCCCCACCCCCCAACTTATGCCAGCTCTCATTGTGTTGTCCAGTCCAAACTGAAGTTCTTCATTGGAGCAAACTATAGGGGAGGCATGAGGTTGCAGAGAATGAGGCAGTCATGGGAAAGTAGAAAAATTAGGGAGGCAGGCTCAGTACAGCATGTCACGTCGGATCCATGTCAGGCTTTTGTCAAGACTGCTGGGATTGTCTCTACCTTCGTACTGGCCTGGTATCACAGCAGCCTTTTTTTTTTTTTTTTAAGTTGTGGTTTTTCTTCAAGCCCAGGAGAAGCTATGCATATCATCAGATTGTCTCCAGCATCACTGGATTTGGTTCTCTTTAAAGAGGAGCCTTCTTAGGCAGCTGAGGAGAAAGTGATCTCAAGAGTGGCCACTCTTTTTGCAGAACCAGTATCAAACTTACAAGCAAGTTTGAGAGAATGGCTGCCTCTGTAAAGGGTTTCCAGCAGCATGCCCTTCTGTATTCCTTCTTCAGGTATCTCCTCTATTGACTTCCAAACTTGATAGCATATTCTGTTTATTCAAACTTGAGATATGTTCATTTTGTCCTAAGTTTAAGTTTTTGTTTCCTATTTAAAATTTTGATTTTTATCAGAGAAGTTCTGTAATGTATTTCTATCTAAATTGTTAGTTTCAGAGGGTAATAAATAACGACCCCTCCAATCTTCGAAAATTCAGATTAGTTGAGATTAAAAAAATCCAAGTATTTGGAGAGCAAAATCCAACCTATTACTGATTTTTACTGGTAAGGCATTTTGAAAAAATATCATTAAAAGTCTGCTGGTCAATGTAGGCCTGTTAATATCTCGACTCTGAATTTGACTTTATCCACTCATTGACCAAATTGAACGACAACAGGCCATTCTATGAGTATTTAACCCCCAGCAACTTAGAATAAGAAAGAGAAGACTAGCTCCTCGAAAGGAGTTAGTAAAGGGCCGAAAGAGAGGCTGGGAGTGTTACTCCAGCGGTAGCTCCCGCTATGGGAACATGAAGAGTGACACACATTACGTGTTCCATAATGTGAGGTGATACTAGATTCCCTGAAGAAAACACCACTAATTTATAACACATGCTCAGAAAAAAATGTTACGTTAAGGCAGGTTGACTGATACATGGAGATTTCAGTAACATTAAAAGCATTTCCTCATCTTACAAGAGAAGAAGCATAATTTTATGTTATCAATCATTTGCCCCTTTGGTAAGAACCTTCTCTGTGGTTTGGACTGAGTGGAGGGGGTATACACATGGCCGTGGTAGGGAGCTCCAATTGCAAATTCCAGCCCTGTTACAACTAACTGGGAGTCCTTGGCTCCCCCGAACCTCTCAAGCTCTGGTTTTCATCTGCTTGATGAGGAAAGGGGACTACCCCAATATATTAACAGATAAAAAGGATGAGCGATAAGCCCTGAACTTCCATAAATAAGTAGTTTCAGGGTTGGTGCTAAAACCCATATACTTTCATTCCTAGTCTCATTTTCTTTCTTTCTTTTGTTTTTGCTATATCCATTTTAGAGTGACCTGAATTGAATTTAGATAAAGTAGTTAGGCAGCACAGAAATGGTCACTTATTCATTCATTCAACATAGCATCTTCTTTTTTATGCCAAGTACTGTGCTGGCAATATGGATAAGATATGTTCTTGACTCCATAGTAGCATACAACCTCTGTCCTTATGTGTTCTTAGCTATTAGTGACTGCCTCAACCCTTTGTTTATAGCATCACTTGAAGGGCTTCAAACTGATCCCTGGAAGAGATCCAGATCTTCTTGGCTATCCTGAATCCATCATCTCTCTTTTGCTGAGACCTGGAATAATGCTCCACCTCCAAGAATTAGCTCATCTCAATTTAGCTCACAAGCTCCTCAAGTGCCTAAAGAGAAAAAATGCAGAGTAAAGTCCAGGACCATGCATTGGCCGCATTATGTTTTTCTCTTTCTGTTTGTAGGCTACTCAGGTTGGCATTACTATGTCACCATGCCAATGCCAGCCTCCACCTTTACAATTGCAGTGGGAGCCTGGACAGAAATGAAGCCGGAGATCTGCTCACCAAGTGGTCTGGCAATAGAGAGATCCTCCTCACCTTCTGAAGCTGACTTCAGGTTTGTACTTGGGAACTTGCTGAAAAACAAACACTTGAGGGAGCAGTATGATGCATTTATTCCAAGCACTGGGAATGTGAGTCATTCCTGCTGAGAAACTAAACCAAAATATGATTAATCAAAGCAGGAAAAACCCTACTGGGAGTGAAAGAGAGTTGAGAGGCAGAAATGTGGGCATATTGTTTATGCAGAAAGAAAAAGAAATATATATGAGATCCTCTGTGTAGTCAGGTGAAATATTTTTATGTGTTTCATTAAGTCAACAGAATCATCAGATTCAATACTTTATCTCCTTCTACACCTTTTAACTTTGGTTTTCAGTACTTATTTTTTCAAAAGCACAACTGAATGGAAAGAAGGTGCTTGTCTGATGGATTACTTTGTGGGCCACTTTGCTGTTTTGATTCCTTGCCTGTTATCAGCCCTGCGCTTGTGGGGGCTGCCCTCCCTCAGTGGGGAGAGGCAGCCTCCTTGGAGCTCAGGACACGAGGAAGCTGTCAGAAGGCCATTAGGTTATGAGAATCTTGCTGAGTCAGGGCTCTGTTAACTTCAGTGGCAATTTCTTTTTTTTTCAGGATGGATCAGAGAAATTCAAAGCTTTTAAAAATTAGTGTGGGCCTTTGGATATTTGCTTATAGCCTCCTCCCTGGGCATTCAGCTATATCTAGTTTTCAGAGCCAAAAGGAAGGAGAATGCATGTAAGAGGCACAGAAGTGTGCTTGCTCCTTGTACATTGTTGCATCATGCTTTGTTCCGGGGTGACCTTGACGCCCACCTCAGTTTAATCTTTTTGTCCTATTGACACAAAGTCACTAAGTCAGTACCTTTCAGTGAAAAGCAATGATACAGATGCTCATTTCATCCTTGAAAACCAACTAAGATATGCTCTTAGTGAAATTCCTCTTGTTTTGGTTTTATTTTGCTATGTTGCTTTCATTCTTACCACAGTGTCAGTAGGAGTCGGTACCCTTAGGAGATGAAGCCACTGAGGCCTCTATTAACATAGGCATGTCTTATTGCCCGCGTTTGCTTTTTGGAGGAAGGGAAGAAATTTCTACTTCCTGCTCAATAACTTGTCTGTCAGGACTGCGTGTCCTGAGCTCTGTAGAGGATCCTAGGTTGTTTATTGGGTTTTATTTATGTACTCTTGAGGGAAGAACACTGTGGATGGAAATGACATATCTTACTTTCACATGGGAACATTTAATTGCCTGTTCTACCCTCTGGCCCTCTCTTCCTCTGTTACTGAGATCACGGAGTAGGCCTCACTCTGCAGTTTCATGAAGCCCAGATTTCTGAGCCAGGAGGACAGGTGCCCGGGAGAGTTATGTGGATTTACAGCACACTTGGTATGACTGACAAATAACTTTTTTTCCCATTAAGCACTGAAACACCGGGGTTATTTGTTACTGCAGCATATCTCAGCCTATCCTGAGCTGATAGAGAAGCCACTGGGTGTTGCAGTCAGAGGGGGTCTTGATCTAAATGTCATCTCAGTTAGTCCTGAGGATAAGCCTATTAGGTTGATAGGCTTTATTATCTCCTTTTTTCACAGAAAGATACAGAAGCTTCAGACAGCAACTTGTTCATGTCCATATCCCTATTGAGTTACATACAACACATGGATTCACATCTCAGCTTGACCCCCTAGAGAGGTGATTCAGAACCTTGCCTGGGGACTTTGAAAGGCTACATGTAACATCCACACCTCACCTGGAGTCTGATCTACCTTCCCACTGTTGTTGATTGGAATCTGTCATGTTAGAACAGAAAACAGAAGTTGAAAGCATTGCCTTTAAGGGTTGAAAGAGCCATTTCTATTGATTATGTCTCTTTGGGCAGGCCATACTTCCCTTCTCTGTAGAAGAAAGTCTTTGTTCAGGGTTCTCAGATTCTTTGTGGTGAAGAAGCACTGAGCTCTTCACCTACGCCCACAGGGCTCATTGACTCTTAGGGGAGGTGTATGTCGGGAAATGTGTGCCTTAGGAAACGAGGAGAAAGCAAAGGTAGAACTTTGCTATTTTGTCCTTCTAGCCATATTCCCAGAGACACACAGGAGGGGAGTGGGCAGCAGTCATTGCTCTCTGCTGCCCAGAAGTAACTGCAATGGCTTTTCACTCTTCTTGCATCTATAGTTGTGATGGAAGCAGGATATGGACAGATCAAGTGGAGATTCTGGAAAGAGATTGTATCTGAAATTCCTCTTGGGGTTTAGGGGAAAGGGTAATTTTGATTCCTCTTTTGTCCTCCTGAGTTTAGAACTAATTGAGAAACAGACAGAAGAAAAGCAAAATAAAGCTTTTATTGTTGGCCGAAGCTGGACTGAGGGAGTGCTCAGGTGCATACTCTCAGTGGACATTCTAATACTTCATTTCCAAATTAGACAAACTTACTCATCCACCCAGTTACCCACCCAGGTGGACCTCTGCCAGTCTCCACAACACAGATGCACACAGATTGCCTAACAGCCAAAAAGTAACCCCTCTGTGGGCAAGCAGATTGAAAAAGAGAAAGCCCAAAGTGGCAAGCCAACCCCATCAGCTGTGGAGAGAGGTCAGGGTTGCCACTCTGGGGAAGCATGTCCTTGTATGGAGACACAGGCCTGTGGAATGGCGTCCCTCCCACGCCCTCTGTGTCCAACATGCTATGACTAAGTTTTCCCCCCATTTATCACCGTGCTTGTCCATCAGAAATGTACTGCTGATAAAATAATAGCTTACATTTGCTTAATCCTTCCCTGGCTGCATGCTCCATGTGTGCTGTCTTTAGTCATCAAAGGGTGGCTTTGTGTTTTTATCCATTCAATCTTTGGCTCCATGCTAAGTTTGCCAGCAAAGGTGCTCTCAAGTGCCAACTGCGGTGGTGTTTTTGGTTATATTCACATCTGGTCCCCTTGCCTCCCTCAGCATCTCCGCCCCCCACCCTACCCTTTCTATTTCAAACCTTCCCAAGACCACCAGTTCAACTCATGTAAATGTAACTTTTACAGGGCCTTTATACACCACAGGCTTGCATTTGCCTGAAAGTTTCATCTGTGTCTCAGAGACTTAGCCAAAGTTTTGGTCACTGAACTTTTGATCACTGTTCATGTGGCCTAAATTATGTGAGGAATGTTCCCTCTTCCAGCTCCAGCTCCACGCATGCTCTAGCCCATTCTAGGTGAGCAAATACGTTAGTTAAAAAGCACTTAGGTGAACTTCTGAAAGTTTATCAATTTTATTTGGCTGTAGTTAACCTTCTTGAGCCACAGGGGAATTTTTGTGTTATGTTTAACCTCTCAAGGCCTTTGTTAGAATATTTTCTTCACTTGGGGGCCATTCAGTTTAAGCACAACATGGAAACTTGGATAAAGTCCAGAGGACTCAACAAAAATGATTAAACTCAAGGAAGCCAGGCAACACGAAGAAGAAAAGGCATTGAAGTTGTTCATCTGAGAGAAGGGACGACTTGGTGCAGGAAGAGGTCTTCTTTAGAGCTGCAAAGGTGATGAAAATTCCCTTGTGGACCTTGGAGGATAAACCCTGTTTATCCCTTGGAGAGTCTGGAAAAGAGGGAATTACATATATATATGGGTCTCCCTAGTAGCTCAGACTGTAAAGAATCTGCCTGCAATGCAGGAGATCTGGGTTTGATCCCTGGGTCAGGAAGATCCCCTGGAGAAGGAAATGGCAACCCCTCCAGTATCCTTGCCTGAAAAATTCAATGGGCAGAGGAGCCTGGTGGGCTACAGTCCAAGGGGTCGCAAAAGAGTCGGACACGACTAAGCAGCTCACATACATACACACACACACACACACACACACATATATAATATATTGATAATATGTACATTATAAATATATATAAATCATAGGAAAAATGCCAATTTCTATTACATCCTTCACTATGAGCAAAACTTTTCATATCTTCCTGGCTTGGTTTGATTTCTCCAGCCCTTGCTCTCTCAAGACAGCTTTCTGTCTCTTACTGTACACATCTCAGTTTCCTCTGCAGTGCACTAAATGCCCTGAGAAAATGCATCCAGCTTCTAGACACTCCCACATCGCAGTTTATATTAACATCTTTGTCGACAATTCACTGGGGGCTGGTGGTGGCATTTTGAACACTTGTGATTTTTATGGTAAGCAAGCATCTAAGCTGCTTGCTAAAATATGTTAATAAATTGTGTAACCTATGTCACTGTACCTTTCAGAATTAAAAAAAAATTTTTCTCCCAAGAAAACTGTAAGCTCCTCAAAGATAGGGTTGGAAATTTATTCATACGTGTGTACACGGTAGCATCCTTTGAGGTGCCTTGAATAGAGCAAAGATGCTGGAAATATTTACTAAGTTGTCAGGTTGAACTGAGGAAGGGGTTTGTGAGCAGTAAAAGATATGCTTTCCAAGGGAGACTTTTCTAGCAATTCCTTTGAACCTGTGGTAGGAAAACATTTGTGTCAAGTGGTTCTAGTACAGCACCTTGAAACAAGAGATTGGGCTGAAGAAGAGCTTCTTGACAGTTTTCACCCTTTTGATTATGAGTAAAACATGGTCATTCTTACTCTCTGAAAAGACCTCTTATAAAATAATTTTAGCCTAGCAATTGTGTGAGAGGGAACCAGTGATGAGCTTCCCATCATTTACCAGTCTCACATATATTTCACCAGTTCTTCCCACTCCTGGCAACATTAATGGGCACTAATACTATCAATACAAGGAGGAGCAGGAAGCCAGAGAACCACAGACCAACTGGGCTCAGCTTTGAGAAAAATCCAGGATCCTAATTTACTCAAGAAGAATCATGAAGTATGTGGAGCAGGAGGGTCAGCAGAGAGGAGCTTATGATGACTCAGTGTGATGAAAAGAATAGTTCTTACGCTTTAGGATGTTGTGTGCATTAGTTGGGATAATGCATATAAAGTGTTCAGAACAGTGCTAGGCACCTAGTGAATGTTTAATAGCAGTTGCGGTAGGACTTATTATTGCTTATTATTCTTACTTAGTATTACAGATTATTTATTAGCTATCAGGCATTATTAATAATATGTACTATTAAAATATTTACTCTGATTCAAGTCTGGACGCAAGAAACTGGTATTTACAACTGCTTGAATTGTTGGTGATATTGAGAATGTATTGGAGCAGGCACATACACAGAAATTAATAACTGAAGGTTAGTGTGAAAGGAAGGTATGGCATCTTTGGGTTAATATTGCTTCTGTGGGAGACTATTCATGACCTTATAAAAGTACCGTGTCACCACTTCAGGAACATGGCTGTTGCGTGAAAGGGGCTCCTGTGGTGGGTTGTCAGGGAATCTCAGTGCCAGGAGAAATCTTAGAAACTGTTTTAGATTCTCTGTTTGTTTTTAATTAAAGCACAATTAACGTACAACAAAGTGTGCAGATTCTAAGTGTTTGGCCTGATGAGCTTTTGATGATTGTATGTGCCCTAAACCAGACAGAGAACTTCTGTCAACCCCCTGAGTTCCCTCACATCCCCTTCCAATCAACTCCTCCCCTGCCTCAGCAGCCACTCGGGTGAGAGAATGTTAGAGATTACGAAGAAGAGGCCCCAGATACTGAGTTGCCTGACTCAGGTCAGTTAGCCAGCCTGAGACCAGCCTCTGAAGCCTAGGTTTCCGGATGTGCCCCCGCCCCCCAATAGGAACACATGTGTGGCTTCCCTGATGCCGTTTCCATTTTTATTGGGAGTCTTATCATCTCACTTAGTTTGATTATAGCTAGATTGCCTTAAAGTCCTGCACATTCTCTCAGGCTTTGATTATGAAAAACAGTGGTAATTCACACAACTGGAATGACCCTCATTACCTTGGCTAGTGTCATTCCTGTCCAGAGAAAATTTAACTCCCCCCCTCCTTTTTTTTAACAGAGTAGCTTTTTGGTGTGTACCTTTGTCTACCCCAAACTGTTCTCTAACTTTTGATTGAATTGATGTACTGACACAGTATTTGTCAGGTAGACAATTGCAGCCTTTTCAGTTAGATGTTTACCAGAAGGCATTTCTACTCACTCTCTCTGTAAAGCAGGGTTATTAATCCAGAGACTTTGACTAATGTTCAATGACAATAATGATGTTCTTCCTGTCACTTTATCCTGTCAGAAGTTTTTATGGGTCTCCACCCACTTCTCTTACCCTAACCTGTGGTAAAATGTCATTGGCGCAGGAAGCTGTGTTCTGTGTCCCAGGCTGGCGGAGGGTGAGGCTTATCTCCATGGCGGTTTGGATCTTCTTGGGCAGGGCTGGCCTTGGATGGGTGAACGGCACGTTAAGCACGTGGAAACGAGTTATTGGTGTAGTCTGCCCATATTGGAATGTGCCAGCATTTTAAAGTGTTTCAGTATTCATTGTGAAGAAGTATGTACAGTTAGAATTATAATTTGCAGTTTCAAATTAGAGGGACTTCCCTTTCTGTTTGAATAAAGGCTGTCTTAGCAGGTAAAAAAAATAGTTTCCTTTGATGTTGGTTTCTTTGGGTAGATACATTCTCTTGAGGCCTCTGAGTCAGGTTCTAGGAATTCTTTTCCGGCTCCACCTTTGCCAGAATAACTGGCAGTGGTCAGATGGTGTGGGCCGGGCTCTCATCTGTTTCCTTAAACGGTTGATTCAGTTATATTTGTATTGAAAGTGGATTGGGGAAAGTGTTGTGTCAAAGTGCTCCTGTAATCCTCAACAGCAAAACTTTTGAGGGCCTTCATAAAGAACAGTTATTGTAGGTTACTTTTCAGTAAAATGGATTATATTCTTTTGAAAAGCTTGAAATGGCATTGTGATTTGTTTCACAGGATACATCACTGAGTCTACATCTTTTATTCTATGGCATTTCAGAGTGGGATCTTTAACTTGGTTGCTCTGTTCCTTCCTTTCTAAGTTGCAAATTATTCTGAACTGGAGAAGATTTTTCCCATAGTGACATTTGAAAAACACATTTCTAAGGATAGGAATTGCTTTTTATTTTACTAGGGGATTGCTTTGTTGTTTTGAATCTTAGAGATTCTCCCTGTTTATTCTAAAACAAGATTTTACTGCTTCCACTTAGCTTAGATTGAAGATAATCAATTCAGCACTTTGATAAGTGTTTTGACCTGTAATATTTTCACCACTCTATAGAAATAAACAAGACAAGAACTCAAATGAACTGTTTTGCTTATCAGTCCATTAGAACCACTGTCTCCTGGAAGTTGTCTATGTCTGTGTCAGTACCTCATCTCCATGGAAAGGGGAATAAACCATATTTACCATAAAATGCATGTTTCTTTCGTATTGCTCCCAGGTATGTTGGCTTTTGTGGTCACATGGAATACCCCTGCCGCTTCCAGAATGCTTCTGCCACCGCCCAGAAGATCATTCCTCATCGGGTCTTTGCTCCAGTGTGCCTGGAGCGTGCCTGCCAGGAGACCCTGCTGCCACTCATCCCTCCTTGCCTCTCCGCAGCACACTCTGTCCTGGGAACACACCCATTCTCCAGGCTGGATATACTCATTGTCCCTGCCAACTTTTCAAGTCTGGGGATGGCCAGGTATGTTATTCTGTTTTGGTGCCTGGAGAACGTGCTTTGGAATTTTTTTTCTTCTTCTAAATTTTGGCATGTGTGGCATGTAGGATCTTAGTTCTCAGACCAGGGATTGAACCCACACCCCCTGCAGTGGAAGCACAGAGTCTTAACCGCTGGACCACCAGGGAGATTCCTGGAAATTCTTTGACTATTTCTTGCTTTCTCTGAACTGTCAGAGCAGTCATTTGATAGAGAAGGGCCATCTCATTGCTACCTTGAGGGACAGTGTGTGTACACTCCACCATGCATGAGCCTTTGCATGTCATGGGCTCAATTCAGTTGCCTTGAAAATAACAACTCACATTGTTGCTGTGATTGAGAACACATTGTGCTCCCAGAGTGGCGTATGCTGGATCGTGGCTAATCAGTGGCCAGTTAGCTTAGGCGGTAAGAGCATAATGCTAATGAGCCCAAGGTCATAGCTCTGGGCAGAGTCAACACAACTTGGTTCTAGGGCACAGGCTGCCGCATAATCCTGTCCAGCTGTCTCATCCATTCTCACCACTGGTCACAAGGGCAACGACTTGAGAGCCCCTGTGTCAGAGAGACTGTGGATGGATCAGTGTAAATCTATCACCGCTGCTAGAAAAACAGCTCAGAGCAGATGGCTTACTAGGGGAGGTTCAGGGGGGTCACTTGTTTTGCTACTATTTTTTAATATAATAAATATATTGTATTATTCTTATTGTCATCCCAATTTAGTTTATATGGAAAATCAAGACCTGCAAGTTGAATCTTTCCCTGTGTGTAATTTATGCCTAAAATCCATTCATTAATGCTGTTGTTCATTCAGTAATAGGGAGCTGTGTTTCACTCAGCATTTTACTTGGTTATGTACTCAGGCTTTTCTTGGTTATATTTCTGTTTGAAAATCTTAATCATTAACAGTGAATACGCTTGACTAAGGATGGGAAAAATAAGCTCATCAAAACATGTGACTTTAAGTTTTTCCCTATTAGTCAAGGAAATTCCTGCTGCCAATTAATTTCCATGCTTTTGAACAGCTGTCATTTGTGGTGTTTTCCCTGAAAGCTGCACACATTCTTAGTAAAACCCATGAGTAGAAAAGAACTGACCAGAACACTTGCCTTTGATCTGTACTATACACGTATACTTTTTAAAAGCTAACTGGCTAGTCTTAATCCTTGAGGAGGTCTGAGAAGGTCATTTAGACTGATTTTTACCCTATATTCATGAAGATAATGGGAATGTAAAAACTAGGATAATTATATATATTTGGTTATGTGCCTCATGTAATTGTCTCGGCTGTCTATATATAGAATTTGTCTTAACAAGGGGGCTTCCTTGGTCCCTTTGAAGATTCTGCTGGACTTAATTTGAGTGGAATTATTGGCAAAGGAAGGGTTGTTCATTAAATGTTTCTTATTTGTACACAGTTTTGAGGCACTGCATTTATTTGGAAGTTTTTAGCACTTTATGAGAGTTGCAGTTTTTCAGGGCATGTTTGCCAACAGTTCCAAGTTCTGACCTGAGGGAACCAGAGGCCAAGTAGTTTTCATACAGAGAAACTTATTTTCTACAACTCCTTCCTGACATCAGTCTGCCAAAACCAGAATTTGTTGACCTGTAGGCCAATCTATAAAGCTTTTCTTTTTAAGTTTGCCTGCCCAGGCAGGTAGGCTGTGTGTTTGCTGCTTTTTGCAATATTAAATTGATTTAAACATGCTTAAATCTGTTTCTTTAAAGTAATAAGCCTAAGTATCCTATGGCCAAATGGTACTGGGCACAAATGTCAAAAGCTGTGATGGTGATAATAACTGAGCAGGAACAAGACTGCTTTTATGCTCAAAAACAGGAGAACCGTACATTTAAAAATTTGTGGTTGGTTGTCAAATATCATTTTTTTCCTTCTTTTTAGACTGTGGAAATAGTCTGCCCTGGTCTAGATGTTTTCCTGGGCTTAGTTACCACTCCCTGTATTTGAACAGTGGAGGGGGGGATTGTGGTGTCTTGCCCTGCCAGTTGGGGGTGGGGAGACACTCTGTTTTTCCTAACTCTGACCTAAATTGATTCCACTTGCTTGGCTTGACTCTCTCGGGATCCCAACACCTTGAGCCACATGCGACTGAGTAGGGTTTATGACTCAGCTGGCTCCTGGGGCCCCGTTGCCTTATTTACGGTCAAGGCTTTGCTTGGGGCTGTGTAAAACAAACTGGAACAAAAATGACAGTCTTGCAGGTCAATTCTGTACCCTAAATAGAAGTAGAGAAATCTCAAGTCTAGTAGGAGCCGTTCAAAAAGACGTCTCTGCTGAAATTTGCCATTGTTCTATTAGTTGTAATGCACTGGAGATCAAAGGATTTCTTGGTAAATTAAATGGTTCTTCCCTGAGTCCACATTTTATAAACATGTATGCAAGATCATAAATTCCATACCTCTGGACTTCTTTAATGACTCGGTCTTAATTTTAATGAATAACATTTTATACTAATTTAGTTTCTTTTTTGCTAGATGACTTTAAACAGTCCCACATGAACTAAAATGAATAAATTATTAATAACCATTTTAAAGAGTGTTTAAAACTTTCGGATGATATCCATAATGATTTCACTGTATTTTATATATTGCATATCATAATTTGTATGAATAAAATTTTCCTAAGTCTGTTTTTGAGCCTGATTTTGATATTTCAGTATGGATTTTTAAAAAAACACATTTGTATAATTTAAATGTATGATAATGACAAATCAATTTATATGGAAGTAAAAAATGCACAACATTTTAGAATTTGGAGTGCTTTTCAAACATAGCAGTAAAACTAGAACATTTATCAGTACTGCACTTCATGATTTTTATTACTGTTTAATATAATAGGACCTGTAACATATTAACTCCTCCCCCTTTTCTGAATCACTGTTCCAGAGGAGAGATACTTTCATGTTATTCCGGTTTTGAGAAAAATGACTAGTATGCCTTTAAGACACTATTGACAGTCAGATTCCCATTCTTTTCTCATTTAGAAAGTGTGGGCTTGCTGTTTTGTTTCATTTTACTTTTGCTTTCCTATGAAGGCTGAATCTGCCATGTAAGGAGCCCTGGAGTGTACCTTTCTTGGGTTGAGTAATATGGTGTCTAAATGAAGATAAGAATGCATTTTAAATGAGTCTCTAATGTATAGAACAACTCTCTTCTTGTTGGTATAATTAGCATTCTGCCATTTTCATTGGACCTCTTGTTTTCTCAAATGTCTCAGCTGGGTATTGACTCGTAAGCCTAATTTCCTCGGTATTGAGAAATACATGAAAGGAACTCGTCATCCTGCTTATACTCTTTGTTATAATAATAATAATGTTAATGGAATAATATCCTGGAATCAGATTTATGACAGTTGCCTCAAAATTAACACCTCTGTCTTACCTCTGTGTATGTTTATAATAAATGCTTAGCTTCACCATTTGTCTTTCAGCAGTTCACAATTACATGTCACAGGTTGTAATTAGGTTGGCAGAACTACCTTGCTGACATCCAAATACGTTCTTTTTTCTCCCCTCCTCTGTTTGATTTTAAAGGATCTTCTGCTTATCATTGCAGAGTGGTTTTATGTTTAGAGCATCAAATGAAAAAGCATCTCCTGGAGGCTGTACTTCCCTACTCTACCACTCACATGTAGACCATTCACCCCTAGTCTGTCTTGAAATATTGAAAAAGAAAAAAAAAAAAATGGAAGCAGAGTGGTTGATGATAGGTGACAAATTCTGCTTTGACCTTTTCCCCACTGGTTTTGTACCAGATAGTCTTGTTCATGAGTTCATTTGCTTGTTTATTCATTTATTCATTCTTAAAGTTCTATGAAGCACATACTGTGTGCCAGGGTAGGATTTAAGATGCTGAGTCTACCGGCATGAAAAAGGTTGATGAGATCTCCATCATCATGGGAGTTACATTCTAGTCAGGGGAGAAAATAGTATGCATAAAAACAAATAATTAAGATGTGTACTGTGCAAGAGGAAGGGAACATATGTATACCTATGGCTGATTCATGTTGATGTTCGGCAGAAACAAACATAATTCTGTAAAAATCCTTGTATTAAAAAATAAATACATTAAAAAGATTTTTTTAAGTTGAAAGAAATTGAAGACAATACAAATAAATGAAAGCACTTTTTTTTTTTAAGTTGTGTATTATGAAGAAATACAGCCAAATGAGTGAAAGAATAACTGGGGACCAGAAGCATTGTTAGGGTGAGGAGGCAAAGCTTCTTTAAAAAATGAAATTGAAGAATGGTAAGGAGCCAGCCATGTGATAAATCTGGTGGAAAAGCAACTCAGACTGAGGAATGTTCAAGTCCGAAGGGCCCGAGCTGGGAACCGTTGTAATGGGCTGGAGGAGCAGAAAGGAGGCCAGTGTGGCTAGCATGGCTTCCCTTGGACATACTTTGGGCACCGGGAAATGCCGGGTCCTGCAGGGCTTCAGTCACCTGAGCCGTCTGCACACCCATGTGAGGAACGTGAGGAAGAGCCACTCAGAAAGGGCAGAGGTTGAGCAGAGATGGGTGGTTCCAGGCAGTCCTGTGCATAGGGAGAGGGTTGCCAGGGAGGTCACATCTTTTCTGGGGACCAGTGGTGCTATGGCGGCTCATGGCCAACTGCTTGGAACCTGACTTGGTTTAGTACCTGCTGTTCTTGAGCAGAATTCTCCACAGAGAAGGCGTCAGAGCACTCAGCGCCCAGACTGGCAACTCGCCCCAGCGGCTGCTTGCTGATTCCTTGCAAGCTCTTTTTTGACGAAACAGGTCACAGGGAGGGAGGTATTATTTATGTTTCCTCAGCCTAATTTTTAAGGTTTTCAAAGACTGGACAAAAATAGGACTGATAGGTAAAACGCACAGAGAAATAACTATCAATTACTGAAATATCTTCAGTGCACTTCACAGGAGAGAAAAATGATAAAGCTCCTTAGTACATGTGGCTTGTTCTTAAAAGATTTGATTGTGCAATAAAAG